GGGAACTCTCTTGGTCTCTGCAGCTGTTTCTTTCTCTTTTTCTCTGCCTTTTAAATAAATGATGGAAGTCCAATGGGGCCTCAGTCTGAACGAGTAGAGCCAGAGCTGCTGAAGACTGAGGGAAGCTGCAAACACACTAGCAGGAGGCAGTATATGGTGAGCACCAGGGTAGTGGTTGATTAGGATATGAACTAGTGTAATCAACATTCTTACTCTCTTTTTATGAGTCGTTCCTTTCTTTCAGTCTGGGCCATTGGAATCACAAGGTTGCAGGTCATGCAGGGTTAGATGCATACTGAAGGAAGCCTTGGATCCTTCCATTTTCTGCCCCTTTCACACTGCTGGGCCTACCACTTCCTTCCATAGGAATGTATCACCTGGAAGCCTGTGGTGGCTCCTAATGCCCCCAGTGCTCAGTTCTGTGGCTATGGCAGAGCCCAAGGCCTACTGCTGTTGCCACAGTGTGCAGGAGCTGCTCAGCTCACTCCTTAGGTCAGCTGGAATGGGCCAGGAAGCTGGCTATTCTTGAGTTTAGGGCAGTTCAGCATTGTGCAAGTCAGAAGAGAGGAGGCCATTTCAATCAACTTCTAGCCCTTGGGGCCCTGGCTTATCTCCTCTCCTCCTTTTAGTCTAATGGAGACTTGCAGGCCACTAGTGAGACTTCACCTGTCTGGATTTAATATCAGACACATCACCGGAAAAGACGTGGTCTGAATGGGAAGACATAGAGAAGCAGAGAGTAAGCATAAACAAATTCCAGGTCCTTAATGTTCTTGTACCTCAGTTTCCTTATCTGTACAGTGAGGAAAGCTTTAGTACCTATTTTAATGAAGTGTTAATTATTTGTAACACACTGCCTGGCATCATAGGCAATCAGAAAATGCAGTTATTATTTGATTATAATTATTGCATGCAAGCCATAACTCATTACTTGCTTAAAATTCCTCAAATGATTTCCATAGCAAGCGGGATAATGTCGAAACCCCACATGAAAATCTACAAAGCTGCAGATGATCTGCTTATACCTCCATCCTTGCCTGCATCCTCATCTTATATGATTTGCCTCCTGCTTAATTATCAACCTCAACTTATTCTGGCCTTATTTTCATTTCTTGAAATTCATTTTGGGGGGGATGGAGGTCTCTAGTCCTTTTCACTTGCTCTACACCTTATAATCACAAAAGTCGAAAGGTGTTCCAAAGAAAAAAGGAAGGTACTAAAATTCAGAGTCCATAAAGAAAAGTTTGAGAAACTTGTCTGCATAATGATCTTAACTATCAGATGCTAAAACATAAGACAACGTATAAGTCATGGATAACTGAGCAAATATATAAAGCTACCGCAAAAAATGTGTGAAAAAATGGAACTCATGAAGAGGTTTATTTTAATACAACAAATTCAAATCATGTACAAATTTGTCTTTTGTCATATAATCCATGAGCTTCATTTGAGGCTCCCTCACAAACACACTAGAATCTGAGAAACACAGGGCTAATAGCTGCGTAGTTAAAAACCCAAGCTCCAGATTCCAACCATTGGGTTTGAATCCCAGGGACATCCCTTACAAGTTTGTGACCTTGGGTGTCACTCAATCTCTCTGTGCTGCAGTCTTCTCATTTGTAAAATGGGAGTGATGACAGCGACTACTTTTTCAAATTATAGTGAGGGTTCATCAATTTAATAGACCAGCTCTTGGCATATTTCATATGTCACACAAGTGTTAGTTATGATGATTTTAAAAAACCCACAAGAACAATAGACAAAGAAATAATACAAAATGGTCAATAGGCATGAAAACACAGTCTACTGCACTCATAATTTAAAGACTTATTTGCTCACTTTGCAAATATTTAAAAATGCATTAGTGTCAAGGGGGCACTGGGAATAGACTAGGAAACATTCTCATAGACATTACATATCATTTTATATACATATATGTGTATGTGTGTGACAAATAATATGCAAAGTGGCTTTAAAAAGTTTGTGGAAAATGGAATTTTAAGGTTAAGTTTATTTTTGTGCAAAAGTTTTTGAAAGAAATCCATGTACAGCTTTTGTTGACCTTTGTACAGATTTATTTATTTCATTTGAAAAGCTGAGATGTTTCATCTCACAGTTCACTTCTCTAATTGGCATAATAATCAGGTATGAGCCAGGCAAAAAAACTGGGAGCCTGAAACTCCAGCCAGGTCTCCCACAAGGATGGCAGGGGCCCAAGCACTTGGGTCATCTTTTGTGGTTTTACCAGGCACATTAGCAAGGAGCTGGATTGGAAGTGAAGCAGCCAGGATTCAAACTGATGCTCAAAAGGGATGCTGGTGTCGCTGGTGGTAGCTTAACCTGTTGTGGTACATATTGCAGGTACTTTTTTTTCCCCCTTTTTTTCTTTTTAGGGTGGCATGATGGCTCAACAGGCTAATCCTCCACCTGTCGGCATCCCATATGGGTGCCAGTTTGTGTCCCACCTGCTCCACTTCCCATGCAGCTCCTTACTTATGGCTGGGAAAGCAGTAGCTGATGGCTCAAGTCCTTGGACACAACTACATAGGAGACCTGGAGGAAACTCTGGGCTTCAGATGGGCTCAGCTCTGACCATTGTGGCCATTTGGGGAGTGAAGCAGCAGATGGAAGACCTTTCTCTGTCTCTCCTCCTCTCTGTAAATCTGTCTTCCCAATAAAGAGAAATCTTTTAAACAAAAAGATTGTTTATAATAATCAGCATTTTCACAAATTCTTGCATAGCCCTTGTCATATGTTGATGATTTAACAAATTGTGAGGTTTTCTTGTTATGAAGGAAAGAAAAAAAAGCAAGGCTGGGGTACTATTTTATATGCAGGTCAAGAAGGGACTCTGAGATATGGTGATATTTAAGATGAGCTGTGAAGCAAGTCGGAGAGAAAGCCATGAGGATTTCAAAGGGAAGAGCTTTCCAACAGAAGATATTCCAAGGGATAGGTTTGGGAGCAGGAGTCAGCTGAACGTAATCAAGGGCCAAGCTAGCCATCAAGTAGGAACTGTGTTCAACTACACATAACTGGGATTCATATTATCATTGCTTAAATAGGGCGACATTTTGAGCTACACACTGATTCTAAGACACTGTTAAGTATGAGACACACCATTATTTTATGTAGCACCAGTAAAGAAAAAAACTGTTATCAAATATAATTATGAACCGTCAGAGATTTCAGCAATGGAAAGATGAATACCTAGAATAAAAATCTCAACTTAGTGGATAAATGATAACCAAATTAGCTCTTAATCAATCTCTCTCTCTCTCTCTCTCTCTTGTCCTACAATTAACATTAATTCTCGCAGTTAACTCCTTTCCTCATCAATGCAGGAGCCCAGTGACCCACTGCTAAGAGTCTACTCTTTCAGTCTCATCAAAAGTGTAAATCCTGCTGGTTCTTTCCAGTCAGTTCCTGCTCTCCCCACCCCCACCTGGGATTGCCTCCTAACAACTGAATCTCTTACTTGAATCAGCTTACAGCCGCGGAGGCTAGTTTACAATGAGTTTTCATTCTTACTGTCTATACACAGGGAATCCTGCAACATTACAGAAAAGACTTCAAAAATGTTGAAACATGTAGCAATGTACTTCTTAGAGCTGATGAAATACAGCATTTTTCTTTCATGTAACAGGCCCAGCAAGTGATCGGTATTTTTATCTTTCCTCATGAGCGAAAGTAAGATGGGCTACTCAGATACAGCCATTCCAGCTTCATTTTGCAGGAGAAGAAAGAGAAACCGGGAAGGGGGAAAAGTGCTCGTAAGTCGTCCATAATTAAGGGTCATTTTGCAAAGTCTTCCTTGAAAAGCTCATTGGGATTTTTTACTGGCATTCCACTGGATGTGCAGATCAACCTGGAGAGAATTTCTGTATATTACAGTTTCATTTATGTATCATAAAAGGGATATATGCATGAAAAGTATATCTGCACAGATGATTTCTCAAGGGATAGATGAGAAACTGTCAACAAGTGGTTGTTTCAGGAAAATAAAACTGGATATGACTTGGTGGGGGGAGAAAGAGACTTTCACTTCTTGTACCATGCCCTCTTCTCTTCTGTATTTTTTTAACCACAAAAAAATGATTGTATTAATAATAATCTATATAAACCAGCAACTTTCAAAGTACAGCGTGCATTACCCTGAGGGACAGGAGTTATAAGGGAATCAACCTCGAAATCCTCAAATTTCATATGCAGCCTTCTAGAATTGAAATGTTCGAGAACATGCTTGTAGTGGAGAAACCAAGCCCTTTCTCTTTTCACAGTGTTCCTTTTGGCACATCACAAAAGAAAAGCCCACCTTTTGCCCATCCTGGATTGTACCTGGGGGTCTTGTGGTCTTGAAGTTTTCAAGGCCCCAGAGAGACAAATCCGGACACTGTTATCAGTTATGAACAACAACAAAGGAATTCTGTCACAAGTGAATAGGAATCAAATCCTTTCACAAACTCAAATGCTTCCAATAAAATGGAAGGAAACTCCAGCGGAGTTGTTAACTGATAAATCATGAGCAATAATTGTAACGATAAATCATTGTATAATTTTCCCATCTATATTCAAGGTCCAAAGCACCTACATGATGCTACAAATTCTTTTTAAAAGATGTCCATTTCCATTTATCTTTATATAAAGGTTTCTGTGATCTAACACTGAACCAAACAGAGAACTGATGCTGAACCCTGTCTCATTCTGGCAATAATATTCATACATAGACACACCATTTTGTTCCTCAGGAAAATTCCTGTCACCAATGAAGTTTTGTTTTATATGTAATACTTACTTATGAAGAGAAATACATTTACAATGTTTTGATCATGCATATACAAATCGTAATTGTCATGATAATGAAACAAAAGCAGGATTGTAAATAAAACCTAGTGTTTTATGACCACAGGAACATTTAAAAGACATTTACATAGCAAATTATGTAAATATTTTTGCTACAGAGAAATAGACATGATAATCATTTCACTTCATGGGCAAAAATGTATATTGTTGAGATCAAATTCTGTGGAAACAGACTGGAACTAAAAACTTCAAGAACTAAAGTTCTTGAAGGACCACCATTGTAATGCTAAAGGGGAAATGAATGCGGGGATGAGGGGGGAGGGGATTTGGGGAGGAGGACGGGAGAGCCTATGGAACTGTATCATAAAACAATAATAAAAAAAGAATTTTTAAAAAACTCAAGAAGAGAAAACGTAAAACCTTCAGCTATCCAACCAAGTAACGAATTTTTAAACAAGATGATGACAGCTCTCAAATCACTAAGGAATTTAAAGATTTCACCAGATTCATGTATACTAAGTGACGTAACAGCTTTATTTTTAACACTTGTCAAAAATTACGCTGTCGCAGGAACTGACACTTGTGATACAAAATTTCAGAGGTCAATCTCTGCAAGTGTGAAGGCGCATACTGTTTTTCAAAATATTTTTAGACAGCATTTTAATATAAATCAATAGTTTTACATAAAGCTTCAGAGAGAGAGAGAGAAAAAGAGAGAGCGAGAAATTGTCATTTACTCTTTTGCCACCTTGTGGCCAGACTTGTATTTAGCCTAGGCCCAGCAACCGTAAGGAGGAACTGTCTCTGCTGAGGGCAGCTCTTTCTGCCAGCCTTCTGGCAGCTCTGCTTCACAAAGATCCGGGATAAAATCTAGATCCATACACACACTAAGAATCTAAAGGTTATGGTGACATTTGCCTCTCTCATGATTCCAAGCAAATGTAGCATGCAATCAGGACAAAGTGAATGTCAGAAAGTTCAACCAAGTTGTGATTTTTTTTCCCCCTATGAAGACTACTATTAAAAAAAAGTGTTTCTAGTGTATGTTGGTTGAATGCTTCTTTATACTGCCTTTTTTTTCTGTCAGTGACCTAGACACTTTTAAAAATGTGCCTTTTTGGGGAAACCAGCCCTGATTTTGGCCCTGGGGTAAGTTTATTTGGTTCAGTGCATTCTGTCTGCAGCATCGAATACAACACCTGCCTGGGAGTTATTGCTGAATAAACATCTGTTGAGTGACTGCTGGCAGAGCCCTGCTGGCCTGGGCAGAGTCCAGCTGAGCCCCGGAGGCTTCTGCAGGGAACTGGTCAGTAAGGCAACCAGATTAATATGGGTGGTCTTAAAGCCCAGACAGTCCCAGGCACTGCAGAGATGGTTAAGTATCCCTGTTGTCTGATAGTTGATCAAGCTGGGATGAATAATCCCTGGCTCTCCTCCCACACTGCATGGTCTCAGTCACTTGTAGCAGCAGCAGCAGCAGCAGCAGCAGCAGCAGCAAGACTGCTTCACTGTCCCTGCTATAGTTGTAATTCCTCTGGTTGCCGGCCGCTCAGGGAAGACCATTTACTGGAAGATGCTGGGGCAGCGTCAAGGAACTGAACCAAGGTCTGGTTTAAGGTAGCAGGTCACCCCTCTCTCCAAGTCCTCCAAAGTAACACCTGCTGGTTCCCTGGAGGAAGGGGCAGGTGGGGCTGACTGCGGTGCACATCAAGGAGGACTCGCCTGGGCTCTAGTCAGGCAGCACAGCCCACACATCCTGCAGCATGCACTAGCATGTGGCCAGCCACGCTCTCTCCCTCTGGACCCACGTGTTGGTGCAGGCCCTGGGCTGCACTCCCTGGGACCTACAGGTACAGCAGGCCCCTGGACACACGGCTTCCCAGAGACCCTTGCCCAACTCCCTTTCCCCACCGGCGGTCCCACAGACCTCTCTACACACTGCCCTGCCTGGGACCTGGTGTCTGGTGGCTTATGCCCCCCATCTAGCCACAGGGCAGGTGCTGGCGGTGCAGATAGCCTGGTGCCTCCCATTGGCCTTGGATTTTCGCCTGCGGGTTGCTCTGCATCTGCCGGTTCAGGAAGCCAGGTGTCATCCCACTCGTGGCCTTGGGAGCCCAGGAAGCAGGCCTAGGGGCAGGCTGAGACTCAGCAGAGCACTGATAAGATGGGCAGGGGCTGTTCCTCTCTAGTTACAGTGGCCTTGGGCGTGCTGCCCTTCCGGATTTGAGGGAGCTGCCCTCCTCAGAATCTAGGGTTCTGAAGAGAAGCCTCATCCTTTATCAGGCATGGCAGGTCCGAGGTGGGAGAGGAGCTGGGGGGCAGGGCTGGAGGTAGCCGCCAAAAGGATGGCCTGTTCTGCTGACCGTGCTGTGCGGGAGCATTTTACAATCTCGGACACGTTTCTGGACTGGCCATTGGCCGTGCCCCCCGGGCCCGCAATGCTGGGGGGGAAGCCTGCATGGGCGAAGGGAACGGACGAGGAGAGGGGAGGAGACGATGAAGGGGGTCAGAGCAGCGATTGGAGCTGAGAACTGGAAGCGCCTTAAAGAGACTGCGCGGTCCCCGCCCCCCTTCCCGCCAGCCTCAATGAATTAGAGCTGTGTTTCCCAAACTTGCCTGATCATAAGCAGCCTCTTGGGCCCTAGTTAGAGATCCCGGTTTTGGAGTTGCCTCCCTTGCAAGAGACTGATTCAGTAGGCCTGCGGGGTGGGGCCGAGGACTCTGTGATTTTTTTTTTTAACACGCTCCCCACGTGATTCTCGTGAAGCAGCAAGTTTGGGAAATATTGAATTAAAGGAAACCGGGCCTGGCTGCCGAAGCGGCCTCCGCTAGGGGGCTTCGGCGGGAGGCTCCCCGGGGGCGTCGCCTGCTTCCGCCGCCGCCTCCTTCAGTGAAAAGTCCCTTTTGGGTCCAGCTGCCACAGCTCCCTCAGGCCGGGAGGGGGACACCCCAGGTCTGCGTGGCCCCCGCGCTGCCACGCCCAGTGGCCGCCGGAGCCTTGCGAGCAGGGGGAGGAGCCGCCGCCAGTGGAGGCGGAGGAGGTAGAGGAGGCGGAGACGGCAGAGACGGCGGAGAAGGCGGAGAAGGCAGAGAAGGCGGAGAGGAAGGTGGAGGCGGAGGCGAAGGTGGAGGGGAAGGTGGAGGCGGCGGCGGCAGCAGCGGCAGCGGCAGCAGCAGCAGCAGCAGCAGCAGCAGCAGCAGTGGCTGGGAAGGTGGAGGCAGCGGCTGCGGTGGCGGCGGCGGCGGAGAAGGTGGACGCCACGGAGAAGGTGGAGACGGTGGAGGAGACGGTGGAGGAGACGGCGGGGAAGGTGGACGCCGCCGGGAAGGTGGACACGGCGGAGGGTCCCGGCCCCCGGGCTGAGCTCAAGCTGGAGCCCGACCCCGAGCCGGTACGGGAGGCGGAGCAGGAGCCAAAGGGGGAGCCGAAGCCGGAGCTGGAGGATGAGGAGCCGGCGGCGCGGAGCGTCAGCGGTGCCGGCAGCGGCAACGAGGTGCCTCCCCCTACCCTACCCTCCGACCCACCGCGGCCCCCCGATCCTTCTCCGCGTCGCAGTCGTGCCCCGCGTCGGCGACCCCGGCCCCGGCCCCAGACCCGGCTCCGTACCCCGCCGCAGCCTAGGCCACGGCCCCCACCCCGGCCCCGACCCCGGCGCGGCCCTGGGGGTGGATGCTTGGATGTGGATTTGCTTCTGGGGCCCCCAGGTTGTTCCCACGTGAATAGCTTTAAGGTGGGAGAGAACTGGAGGCAGGAACTCCGGGTCATCTACCAGTGCTTCGTGTGGTGTGGGACCCCGGAGACCAGGAAAAGCAAGGCAAAGTCGTGTATCTGCCATGTGTGCGGCACCCATCTGAACAGACTCCACTCTTGCCTATCCTGCGTCTTCTTCGGCTGCTTCACGGAGAAACACATTCATGAGCACGCCGAGGCTAAACAACACAACTTAGCCGTGGACCTCTACTACGGAGGGGTCTACTGCTTCATGTGTAAGGACTATGTGTACGACAAAGACATTGAGCAAATTGCCAAAGAAGAGCAGGGAGAAGCTTTGAAGTTACAAGCCTCCACCTCTGCTGAGCTTGCTCACCAGCAGTGCTCAGGGCCTGGCCTGGGTGAGAGGTATCCGACCTGGGAAACCACCAAACCTGAGTTGGAACTGCTGGGGCACAATGCGAGGAGGAGGAGGATCGCCTCCAGCTTCACCATTGGCCTCAGAGGACTCATCAACCTCGGCAACACGTGCTTTATGAACTGCATCGTCCAGGCCCTGACTCACACCCCCATCCTGCGCGATTTCTTTCTCTCCGACAGGCACCGCTGCGAGATGCCGAGCCCCGAGCTGTGTCTGGTCTGTGAGATGTCTTCGCTCTTTCGGGAGCTGTATTCCGGCAACCCGTCTCCACATGTGCCCTACAAGTTACTGCACCTGGTGTGGATTCATGCTCGTCATCTAGCCGGGTACAGGCAGCAGGATGCCCATGAGTTCCTCATTGCCGCCTTAGATGTCCTGCACAGGCACTGCAAAGGCGATGACACCGGCAAGGCAGCCAACAATCCCAACCACTGTAATTGCATCATAGACCAAATCTTCACGGGGGGCCTGCAGTCGGACGTCACCTGTCAAGCCTGCCTCGGGGTCTCCACCACCATTGACCCGTGCTGGGACATCAGTTTGGACTTGCCTGGTTCCAGCACCTCCTTCTGGCCCATGAGCCCCGGGAGGGAGAGCAGCGTGAACGGGGAGAGCCACAGCCCCGGCATCACCACCCTTACGGACTGCTTGCGCAGGTTCACCAGGCCAGAGCACTTAGGGAGCAGTGCCAAAATCAAATGTGGCAGTTGCCAAAGCTACCAAGAATCGACCAAACAGCTCACGATGAATAAGCTGCCAGTTGTTGCCTGTTTTCATTTCAAAAGGTTCGAACACTCAGCCAAACAGAGGCGCAAGATCACTACATACATTTCCTTTCCCCTGGAGCTGGATATGACCCCGTTCATGGCCTCCAGTAAGGAAAGCAGAGTCAATGGACAGTTGCAGCTGCCGACCAACAGTGGAAGCAATGAGAATAAGTATTCCTTGTTTGCTGTGGTGAATCACCAAGGAACCTTAGAGAGCGGCCACTACACCAGCTTCATCCGGCACCACAAGGACCAGTGGTTCAAGTGTGATGATGCCGTCATTACCAAGGCCAGCATTAAGGATGTGCTGGACAGTGAAGGGTATTTACTGTTTTATCACAAACAGGTGCTGGAACATGAGTCAGAAAAAGTGAAAGAGGTGAATACGCAAGCCTACTGAAGGGACATGCGAGATCTGACTTTGTCATGGAAGGTGACGACACCCCTTAACTACAACTGGCATCCAGATGTAAAGGAGCTACTAGACTGTGGCCTTAGGGGCCGGATGGAGTTAACTGAACAGTTACCCAGTGTCCGAATGGTCCTGAATGGAAGAGGATTAGACGGGGAGGGAGATGAGGCTCTGGTCTAAGCAGTCACTTAAAGGAAAACTAAAGGGCAGGAATGCTGTGGATGGGGGAAGGCAAGAGCAGGAAACCCCTGACACTGGTATATATCCTATATTCCTCCAAAAGTTGTGTGGGAAGGTGGGGGCGGGGGGAGGGGGGAGGTGCGGGGGGTGTGCCCTTGTAACTGTAAAACATCTTTCTCCATGGGTGTTTCAGCTTCAGTTGACCAATCACATTAACAGTTATACGTTTGGAGAAGGGGGGAAAAGCAAAGTTTATAAAATTGTAGCCCATTACATACTTGGGTGTGGACGCAGAAAAGTGGAGGAGGCAGGGATATTTCATTGAAAAACACCTTTGCCAGTTTCTTTGTATTAGTGACTTTTTGTGCTATTAATTGCAGTATTCAAAAAAAAAAAGAAAAAAAAAGTGAAGCCCACGTAGGCTGGTTAAAGGAGAAGAAATAAGGGGGCTTGTGTAAGGGGTGGGGAGCAGTTGCTCCAAAAGTAGCCCAGACAAGAAATGCTGTAAGATAAGCAATCAGCACAGACAGGCCTCAGCTGACAGTTTAGTGTGTGTGCGCGCGTGTGTGTGTGTGTGTGTGTTTAAAAAAAAAAAAGCTGTATCATATACTTGAGCAAATCAATGAAACCTCTTTGCGATTGTTTTCTCATCTGTAAACTGCAGATACTTCCTATCTTGCTGGGTTGTTGTCAAAGATTAAATGATATAAATGTGTCAAAGTAAAAGGCTTTGGAAATTTGTAAAGACTCAGTGAACGTTTGTTGGGTTCCTCTCAGACTGAAGCTTCTTTGAGCCAGGCCGACAACACATCAGAGGTGAGAGGCGGTTTGGCCTGAGACTCCGGGACAGAAAGGACATGTTGTGTCACATATAGTCACATGCACACTTGCGCGCACTTGTTCTTAACCATCCCCCCTCCCAACACTATGCACTTGGAGCCCTAAGGCAATGGACTCCTCCACTGCCCCCTGGGCACAGTCCAGCAGTCAGTGTGACACCTGGCTTGGGATGGGGTGGGGGTGGGGGAGTGGAAGGAGACAATCGTCCCTGAAGGTCAGCATTCCATCCATGTGGAAGACAGTCGTGTTGTTTTCATGACTTAGCAGCCCAGTGATGGAATTCTCACAGCTAGCAGGTTGCCATGCTTGTACTTGAGGGAATGGGGATCAGTGGTCTTTGCCTGTAAAAAAAAAAAAGCTGTATGGGTTTAGTTGCCACAGTTCGCCTATAGGCACAGATCAGTGGAAAGACTTTTTTTATTTTATTTTTCCAAGTTCACTGGTCTGTCAGCCCTGGGATACAGGCTCTGATTTCTTGGCCCCTTCCTGATGGGACAGAGCAGAACACCCTGCAGAGAACTAAGCCAAACCAGATGGGCTGAGCCCAGGAAGGGGTAAGGGCTAAGGCCCTTTTTTCTGAACATCCTGTACACAAGTAATCAGTGTTACTTAGTTGCTGCCTGGAGGAAAACAGATCCATGGGGCTTGCCTCCACTGCCTCTGCCAACAGCCTGCGCTCCCTATGGCTTCACAGGTCTACTTTGTGGCCAACTCGTTTGCAAATAGAAACATGCAGTTGTTTGCACAGCCCCAAATAGATTTTAAGGACAGGGGTTGTGTCTCCTCCTAGCCCAGAGCCTTGCACCTGGTAAGCAGGCTTTGCAAACATTGAATGAATGGATGGATGGATGAATGAATGAATGAACAAGTGAACGAATGAATATACCTTCCTTTCATAAGCAGCATTTCATCAATAGCCTGGACCCATAATCCTCAGGAGGCAAATGTAAAAAGCTGTTACTTTCAGCGTCTTGTAGGATGGGGAAGATCAAGAGATGGGTGACTTCGGATACCACCTGGCAACTCCGTGCGGGGGGGGGGGGGGTCTGGCTACCTTTTAGGATGTGTCTGGTAGTCCTGGAGACATAGCCGGGCCTCATTCCTCAGCTTTGCTGTGGGAAGAATTCAGTCAGCCCTGTTCCACCAGATTCCGACTCCCTGTGCAAATGTAATCTTTTAAAAAGTTTCAAACATTTTGGTTTGGAAATAATTTCAAGCTTTCAGGAAAGCAACAGAAATAAAAATAGTGTCAAAAGTATCTGTAGGCCTATTACCCAGATTTATCTGCTAACATTTTACTGCATTTACCTTATCATTTGTACATACGCACTCCTTTGTAAATGTAGTTTTGACCCTTCTGAGGATAAATTGCAGCATAGCCATTTGGGTGGGAATATTTTAATGTGTGTTCCTTAAGAACAGGCATATATCCTACATTACCACAGAATAGCCTCAGAAAATATGACACTGTTAGTATTTTAACATTCAGACTCAAGTTTTTTTATTGACCCATTCATGTCCTTTTTCGCATTCCCCTATCACAGGATCTGTTCTAGGGTGAAGGTTGCACTTAGTTGTCATGGGTCTTTACCCTCCTGTCATCTGGGACATTGCTATAAAACTTCATCTTATGTGGCACTGACATTTAAAAATTGTTTTAATTTATTTTCATTTTATTTGAAAGCCAGGGAAACAAAGACAGAGCTCCATCTGCTTCTTCAGTTCCCTAGCTCACTCGGCAGCCAGGGTGGGGCCAGGCTAAAACAAGGAGTTCAGAATTCAGAGTCTCCCCATATGGGTGATAGGGGCCTAACGACTTGACCCCATCATCTGCTGGCTTCCAGGATGCCGGATCAGAGGTGGAGGAGCTGGTACTTGGACCCTGTCACTCTGATGTAGGATGCAGCTAGGATGATATAGGATCTTTTACTGAAGCAGGGACTTGGTGACTGTGCTAAACACCCACCACAGCATTCACAATTTTAATACAAGTTTCTTCATTTTGGGTTTTTCTGATACAAAGCTTGTTGCCTTTTAAATATTCTGAATTGAGGTATAGGTCTTGAAAAATAGGTATTTGAAAGATTTACAGAGATAAGGAGAGACACACAAATCTTCCAGCCAATGATTCATTCGCCGGATGGCTGCAATAGCCAGGGCTGGGCCAGACTGAATCCAGGATCCAGGAAATTCTTCTGGATCTCCCATGTGAGTGGCAGGAGCCTAAGCAGTTGGGCTATCTTCCTCTGCTTTTCCCAGGCCATTAGCAGGGAGCTGGATGGAAAGTAGAGCATCCAGGAAACAAAAGAGCACCCAGATGAGATGCTGGCATTACAGGTGGCAGCTTTACCCAGTGCCACAGTACCAGCCCCAAGGAATAGTTCTAAGAGGAGCTCAATGAGATAATGGAAGATTGCTGAATCTGACCTCCCTATGTCACCAATGATGGAAGGCACAGACCACCAGAGTGAGGAGCTGTGCCTGGCACTTCCTGATTGAGTTTCTCCACTCCTGTCTCTGGCAAATACTATCGTCCTTCAGTAACAAGGAGCCATCTAAGCCTACCACTATGACCCTCCAAGCTGCCAATGCCCAAATCAAACCATGGAAGGTAAGCACATCTGGGACCTGATATCATGAAACTTAGGGCATCAAGTAATTCAGCAAGGATGTGTTAATCTTGAACGCAAACTGAGATTCAGGTATGTTTGAGTGTGTCTGGCTTATGGCTGGCCACATGCTTGGGGCCTTTAGGGGCACCTTTGAATACAGTGGCAACAGCAGCCTTGTGTATGGGAGGAGGGGTAGCTGGTTCTTAAACAGTTTCATAAGCAAAGGTACGGGAAGATAGAGCCCAGCATAATTAAGGAAACAGGAGATGGTGACCACAGATTGGCTAGTGACTTTAGATTGGGTTATTTTCCTGTGCTGGTTGGAGTTCTTACGTGAACAGGTCATGACAAGAGCCTAGGATGACATCATTGACTGAGATGTTATCCACAGCTGGCGAGTAGATGTGTGATCTGAGCTCAGAAAGGGCATAGGTCAATTATCAGCTCTTGTAACAGGATCTTACCCACCCTTCGAGCTCTGAATGGAGGACCAGTCAATGGGGTACTGCCCTGTCATCTAGTACACATCCTTCCCATGGTTTCTTGGCCTAACCTGGTTAGAAAGCCAGAGCCCTGGGCCTGGTATGATGGCTCAGTTGCCTACTACTTTTCCCTGCAAGGGTCAGGATCCCATACAGGCACTGGTTCATGTCCTGGCTGCATTTCCCTTCCAGCTCCCTGCTTGTGGCCTGGGAAAGCAGTTGAGGACGGCCCAAAGCCTTGAGACCCTGCACCTGAGTGGGAGACCTGGAGGAAGTTCCTGGATCCTGGATTCAGATCGGCTGAGCTCCAGCCCATTGCAGCCACTTGGAGAGTGAACAAGAGGATAGAAGATCTTTCTGTCTCCTCTCCATAAATCTGATCTGCTTTTCCAATAAAAATTAATCTTAAAAAAAAAAATTAAAGGAGCAGCAATCCAGAGCCCTGACGCTCTGTCTGCTATAGTAGCTGGAAACTGAATTGACTCTGGCTGACAGGTCACACAGGCCATTTATTCACTTCCTTGCCAGGTACAAGGAATCCTGATCAGGGATACCATAAAATAAACAAATAATAATAATAAGCCTACACACACACACACAAAAAAAAAAACCAACAAAATGTCTTTTGGAATGATGGAATTCACAAAGTCTGATCTCTTTATAGTTATAAAAATATTTTTTTTTAAAAAATAAGCAGAATTGTTCCTATATAACTCATGCTGTCAAAATACAGTAGACATGCTGGCAGGAGGTTGTTTACTCTCAAATGTGTATTTTACACCTGGAAACAAAGACCTTGAGTCCTCTCAAAGTGCCTAGCCCAGCACTGGGAACAGTGTATCGTTTTAGAAACTTATTTTCCTCTGCAGGTGTGCCAGCACCATTTTGCAACTTGTATTGAAGAATAAGGGAATGCAAACACATATCATATGTTAACTTATGGCATTTCTAGAAAATGAACACATCCTCATGAACAGCATTCAAATCAAGAAACAGAACGTCACCTGTAACCCCGAGATACATAAATCCTGACT